TTAAAAATAATGAAGCAGATTTTAAAAAAATGAATACCTGTTGGCTTGGTGTGATAAAATATTGGCCAATGAGACTAGATAAAAGGATGAAATGAGAAAGAGTGAAAAAGATGCATCATTCTCACTATATGCAGTTGATAAGATATGTACCAGGTAAACACAAGAGTCACCTGTAAGATAACTAGAAGGAATGAGGTAATTAACGTGGATAGCTGCAAAATTAATATATAGAATTGTTATGGATTGAATTATGTCTCCCCAAAAGATATGTTGAAATCCTAACCCCCAGTACCCAGGATGTGACCTTATTTAGAAATAGGGTCCTCACTGAGGTAATTAGTTAAGGTGAGGTCATACTAGAATAAGGTAGGCCCTTAATCTATGACTGGTGTCCTAAAACAATGTGAAGACACAGGAACATAGGTAGAGATTGGAATTAATTATGCAAGCCAAGAAACCCAGAGTGACACTAGAAGCTACAAGAAAGGCATGAAATAGATTCTCTTAGATCTGATTTCAGACTTCAGGCTTCCAGAACTGTGAGACAATAAATTTCTGTTGTTTTAAGTCACCCAGTTTGTGATACTTTGTTACAGCAGTCCTAAAAGACTAATACATAGAACCCCAGCTTTTCTATATGCCAGCAATAACCAAATAGAATGGAAAAATAAATCCCTGAGTCATAGAAGACAACATTTTAAAAAATGACTTGTATATATATGGAAAGTTAATGTCAAAACATGGTTTCTTTTTATGTCAGTTTGTAAATTCAGTGAAATAAAATACAACAGGGTTGGGTGGAAGAGAATTTCAGGAAATGACTATAAAATCCAATTAAATTAAACTGGGATAGGGATATGAAAAAGAATAGTAATGAGGGAAAATTAATTTTGCTCACTATTAAAATTTTGTCAGTTAAATGTATGGTAAAAGAATAGAAGATCAAAGAGAATAGAACTCAGGAGTGAACCCAAATATATACTTATGGGAATTTAGTATATGATAAAGGATATTTCAGACCCTTGGAAGAAAGAGATTATTCAATAAATCATATTGGGATAACTGGCTAATCATTGGGGGAGGGGGGATAAAGCTGGATCTCTATTTCACCTCTCACACCAAAATAAATTTTAACTGAGTCAAAGATATCAATATGAAAAGGAAAAAAATTGAAAGGTAGAAGAAAACTTTGGTGAAACTAATAGATAAATGAATTTTAAATTGATAATATGCAGTGAGTGTATAGGGAAATAGAAACCTAATACACTAAGTGAAAATATTTTAAAGACGGAAATTCTCCACAAATTAGTATATAAATGTAATACCACAATTATCAAAATTGTATATATAGGAAAAAATAGACTATTCAAGAAAATCTTGAAAATGGGGAATTAGGAAGAGAGGATAAATGTAGGAGATAATGCTGTTGGATAGTGAAACTTAAAACTGCATTTAAAACAGTGAAACTGGCTAAGATTAAACTCGGTGGAGTAGACTAGAAACCCCAAACAAGCCCCAAGTATATATAAATACGTAAGTACCTGATAGATGTAAAGGATGGATAATAAATAAATGGAATTAGGAGAAGTCCATTATCGATTTTTTTTTAAAATTTTATTTACTTATTAGCACTAGTGAAGGGGCAGATGGAGAAGCAGGCTCTCTGCTGAGCAGGGAGCCCAATGTGGGGCTCAATCCCAGGACTCTGAGATCATGACCTGAGTTGAAGGCAGATGCTTAACCAAGTGAGCCACCCAGGCACCCAGAAAGTCTGTTACCTATTGAGAAAAATAGATTTCTATCTCATCCCACACAACACAAAACTTAAATGGATTAAAGAATTACAATTGACCCTTGAACAATATGGGTTTAAACAGTGTGGATCCACTTATACACAAATTTTTTTTATAAATACAGTACTAGAATTGTATTTTTCTTACGATTTTCATATTTTCTCTAGCTTACACTATTGTAAGGATATAGCATATAATACATAAAACATACAAAATATGTGTTAATCAACTGTTTATATTCTGGGTAAGGCTTCTAGTCAACAGTAGGTTATTAGTAGTTAACTTTTGGAGGAATCAAAAGTTATATGCAGAATTTTTTACTGCGTGGGGGGATGGCCAGCACCCCTAACCCCCCGTAGTGTTCAAGGGTCAACTGTAAATTTAAGCACCCAGTATTTGTTGAGCCTCTACTATTATATTAGCCAGGCACTATAATGGAGCTGGGATGCAATAGTAAGCAAGACAAGCAAAGATCTCTACTCTTGAGGAGTATACAACTCATGGAGACTGACAATAAATATTAGCTATGCAGCTAAGAGCAATCCCCGAATTATGTTGCAGAACAGATCCTGTAAGGACAATAAAGCCATTATATGGCTATCCCTGGACACTGCACACAGCCAGTTCCCTCTCTGCCGTGGTTGTCCTAGGAGCTCTGCCAACCACCAACACCATTACCACCAGAGAAAGTGCTACATCATCATCCATGCTCTACAACACCAGTTCCCATTGCAAAGTCTACGGTAAGTGTTTCCGATTGGTGGAGCCAAGGTTTAGGCTCATACCCTCCCTTCGGCAAACAGGGCAAAGAAAACAAGCATTTGACCTTTTTCAGCATCTATCATGCAAGGCTCTGTCCCTGAAACACTTGTGGGTAGATGGAGGTGGTATTCAGATGCTGAAAATCAATAAAAGACATGGGTGATAAGAATTTTAAGACCAGAATAATTACCTGGGACACTTCACGGACGAGATGGAGGGTGAGACTTGAATGATGGTGGGATGGAAGGAGGGAAGAAAGGTGAGCAGTTGTAACTGTACTTCTTACTGCTGTGTGTCTAAGAAGGAAGTTACTCTGTGGAATGGAGTGGTGGGCTTGCTGGACTGAAGAGTCATGGAGAAAGCTAAAGTGGACAGGTGGTCAGGCTAGGTTTTGAATGTTGTTGGAAGCCAAGCAGGAAGCTTGGGCTTTAATGACCCAGGCCATATGGAGACTTGGAGGTTCTAGACCAGCAGAGTGACACTTTGTCCCTCATGTCTAAGAGTGTTTCATTCATTTATTTGTAAAATCTTTGTTGTGCAAGATAATAGGAATAGAATGGTGAACAAGAAGAGGTCCACTCCCTACCCTCAGGCGACCTCCAGTGTGGCAAGAAGGACAAACAGAGGACAAGCAAATACAATATAGCAGAAGAGACAGAATAAGGAAGACAGAATAAGGAAGCCCTAGTGGCTGTAGGTACACAGGGGTGGGGGCATTCAGTGTAGCTATGAGTGATGGAGGAGGCTTCCTCTGGAAAGTGAGATTTAAATTGAGACCTGAAATATTCCAGCCAGAAGAAACAGCAAACCATGTGGATCCTCACACTTTTAAAGCTCACCCCTGAAGTTCCATAAATGAGACACAGATTATTAGTGTTGTGTTTAAGAATATGCACTATGTAGAGAGAGCCACCGCATGGGTTCTACAGAGCCCGGCTCTATCCCTTGTGAGCTACATGAACTCGGGAGCATCAGCTTAATCTGAGCTGTAATTTCCACAGGTGTAGACACAGGGTGGTGGCAGCACCAGCCTCAGAAGATGATGCATCCTGGCACCTTCTCTAGATCCTCACACACAGGAAGTGCTTCTATCGGTCAGGACCCTACCAGGGAAACAGAAACCAAGTAATTCAAAGGGATTTTAAAGGAAATTCTAAAGAGAATTGAATGTAGGAATTGCTTTGTAAATGATGGAGGAGCTGAAAATCAAATAGGAAATGGTAACAAACAAAAAAAAAAGGAAATGGTAAAGCAACCAGAGATCAACAACTGCAGGAAGGGGCTACCACCCCAGGCCGGAAGAACAAAAGGAAGAATAGTGGTGCTGAGCCGCAGGGCCCGGGGCTGCCTGCAGGACACTCGCACGGGGCGGGGGCCGCCCCCGAGAACTAGAGCCAGCGCCCTCGCGGGGGGCCTGTTCCAGGTGCGCTGGGAAAAGGGATGAGGGTCTGTCATGAAAGTGATCGGGCTGAGCTAGAGGGCTTGACACTGCAGAATTGACATTTGTTAGGTTATCTCAGGGAGAAAGACAGCACTTGACATCCCTTCTGCTCCTTTTAAAGGCAAATGATTTTCTGATGAGTTATCCAAGTCTCAAAGGTACAGTGGACACACAAGACAGAATTGAGGAAAGTAATCTATCATTGTCTTTGCCTGCTCCAAACATTCGCCCTGGAGAGCTTTTCCTGCTGCGGCATCTACTCCACAACTTCCCAAGTGTGTAGATCCCCAAGCAGGTTGCTGACAGCACCCACAGCTGAGCAGACTCCCAGGGAGAAGAATGAAGCTCATGCTCGTGTTTGCCGCCCCCCCGCCCCGAGAAATACAATTGTCAGTGCCACAGTCCCCCTTCCTGATCAGAAAGCCCCAAGGAGACGTAAAGCTGAGCCTTCTCTAAGTTCTCTGATGGGCAACCTCCTTTTTAAAGATTTACAGTGTAAGGATCCCAGTCATTGGAACTTAGCCATGGCTTGGCTCTCGGATGTCTGTAGTCTACTTACCAGAGACTTTGCTCAGCCTTGCAGGACAGCTAACACCGCTGTCCTGATTCTTCTACTCTCCACTCCCTTCAACTCATTCCAGACCCTCCACTCCCTCCAGACCCCTGGCAGAACATAGTTTAGTTTGCAGGTTAATTCCGGTTGGGAGTTGTTCTCTTCTCAATATCCACTTTTCACATCCACTTCCGCAAAGACAGGGATCTGGTCATCCCGCCCTTGGTAGGAAAGCTGTGATTCAGAGGGAAAGCTGTATGTTTCTGTTAGCAGAAAGGCTACATTGAAATGAAACTATTACATTGTTTATAAATATTCAGGAAAGTTAGCAAACCCTTGGGTAAGGAAATAACTGGGCCTAAAAACAAAAGAAAAGAAGAGCAGTAGCCATACTGATTTGTAACAAGAACAGAGTTGGAAGCCATTCTTCATCCATTCATGACAGTACCTACTACATGTCAGGTGCTGTGCTGGGCTCTGGGAATGCACAGTTGAGAAGCTCACGGTCCCATAACTTATTCTTATACTGCAGTGGACCAAGTGCTGTGATAAAGGTCATTGTGATATTGTGATTTATAATAAGAAATAGAAATTTGTCTTTGTCCTGTTTCTGGCACAGAGTTCCTGAAACCCTTGGAAGTTCCTAAGTGATAAGAGTGATAAATGTGTCAGGGAAATACATATCAAAACCATAATGAGATACCACCTCACACCGGTCAGCATGGCTAAAATTAACAAGTCAGGAACCAACAGATGTTGGCGAGGATGTGGAGAAAGGGGAACCCTCTTACACTGCTGCAGCCACCCTGGAAAACAGTATGGAGCTTCCTCAAAAAGTTAAAAATAGGGACACCTGGGTGGCTCAGTCGGTTAAGCGTCTGCCTTTGGCTCAGGTCATGATCCCAGGGTCCTGGATCGAGCCCGGCATCAGGCTCCCTGCTCAGGGGGGAGTCTGCTTTTCCCTCTGCCTCCCACACTCCCACTCTCTCTCTCTCTCTCTGACAAATAAATTAATTCTTAAAAAAAAAAGTTAAAAATAGAACTAGCCTACGACCCAGAGATGGCACTACTAGGTATTTATCCAAAGGATACAAACATAGTGATCAAAGGGGCACATGTGCCCTAATGTTTATAGTAGCCTATCCACAATAGCCAAAATATGGATAGAGCCCTGATGTCCATCGACTGATGAATGAATAAAGAAGATGTGGGGTGTGTGTGTGTGTGTGTGTAACAGAATATTACTCAGCCATCCAAAAGAATGAAATCTTGCCATTTGCAATAACATGGATGGAACTCGAGTATATTATGCTAAGCAAAATAACTCAGAGAAAGACAAATACCATATGATTTTACTCATATGTGGAATTTAAGAAACAAAACAGATGAACATAGGGGAAGGGAAGGAAAAATAAAATAAGATGAAAAGAGAGAGGGAGACAAGCCATGAGACCCTTAACTCTAGGGAATAAACTGAGGGTTGCCAGAGGGGAGTTGGGTGGGGGGATGGGGTAACTGGGGGATGGGCATTAAGGAGGGCAGTTGATAAAATGAGCACTGGGTGTTATATATAACTGATGAATCATCAAATTCTACCCCTGGAGGTGGGGAAGAATTCTTTGGGGAAAAAAAAGAGTGATGGTGGTGTCTTAATATTCATAACAAACTGCTTTCAACCACATCTGAGTTTATGCCAATTCAGTGGCTTTTTTTGGAAGCACTGAAGGATGAGGGCAGATCACAGGAATCAACCCTGTGATTGGAGGCTTGGAAGTTTTAGTCCCACTCCCCCGACTTCTGGGAAAGGGAGAGAGGCTGGAGGTTGAATCGATCACCAGTGTCCAATGATTTAATCAATCATGCCAGTGAAATCAAGCCTCCATAAAAACTGAAAAGGAGGGGAATCAGAGAGCTTCTGTCTTGGTTGGTAAACCATGGAACCTGCGGAGAGGGGCACTTCTGGAGAACCACGGAAGCTATGCTTCTCTTCCCCATATCTTGACCTATGCATCTCTTCCATCTGGCTGCTCCTGAGTTAAACCCTTCTATAATGAACCAATAATCCAGTAAGTAAATTGTTTCTCTGAGTTCTGTGAGCTGCTCTAGCAAATTAATCAAACCCAAGAAGGGGGCTATTGGAACCTCCGATCTATAGCTGATCTGTCAGAAGCATAAGTGATAACCTGGGCCTGGTTGTGGTCGGGGGCAGTCTTGTAGGACTGAACCCTTGACCGAGGAGTCTGATGCAGTCTCCAGGTGTTTAGTGTCAGAATTGAGTTAAATTGTAGGACACCCAGCTGGTATTGGAGAATCGCCTGGTGGTGTGGTCGGGGGGGAGGAACCCACACATCGAAATTGATGTCAGAATGGGAGTCATAGAAGTTCTTATTGGAGCCCAAAGGAAGGGACCAACAGAAACTTTCAGTTTGGATTTCATATAATATGCCACAGCTGTCTAAGTCATCTCAGGTAGGAGATAAAGTGAAAAACTGCAGAGAGTTTTCAGAAGACCTCTGGATCACATAGAATGTGTTCGGCTGTAGGTAATACAAAACCTGACCAATGCTGATTTAAACAACAAAGATGATCAAGGGTCCCACACAACTGAAATCTGGGAGTGGATGGTCTGAGTTCAGAAAAGCAGTGCAGTGATGTGATTTAGGGCTCAGGCTGTCTCAACTTTTTTGGCTTTAGCATTTTCAACTTGTCGACACTGTCTTCCTTCTGGTACCAAGATGCTAATGCCGCTCTGGTGGGTGAGTCATTTAAATTTTCTGCTTCTCCATTTCTCCTCTATAAAATGAGATGTGATTGGATGATGAGCTTTCAATTACACCAACTGCAACCCTGATGTGATAGTTTAACCCATTATAGTTCTTTAATTTGAGTGTACATCAGAGTCACCTAAAGGGTTTATTAAAACAGCCTGTGATTCAATAGGTCTGGAATGGGGTCTGAAAATTCACAAGTTCTAACTTCTAACAAGTTTCCAGATATTACAGCAAATGCTGGTCCAGGACCACGCTTTGAGAAACACCGGTTTAAATTATCAGTATGTCAGTTTCCCTGACCTGTGAAATGAAGGGGTGGCTCTTAAAGAGGGTTCATACTACTCCTAGATAATTGCCAAATCCACTGGGGAGTTTTTTTAAAATACAGATAATTGAGGGGCGCCTGGGTGCCTCAGTCGGATGAGCATCTGCCTTCGACTCAAGTCATGATCCTGAGATCCCGGGATCGAGCCCCAAGTTGGGCTCCCTGCTGAGCAAGGAGTCTGCTTCTCACCCTCTCCCTCTGTCCTTCCTCCTTGCTCATGCTCTCTCTCTCTCTCTCAAATAAAATCTTTAAAAAAAAATAGCCTCTATCACCCTCTGTAAATAAATAAATAAATAAATAAACAAACAGATAATTGAGCCTCACCCCTGGACATTCTGGTGCAGTGGATCTGAGGCTGGGCCCATGAATAGGTCTTTTACTAACAACCCCTTAGGTGATTATGACATTAGAGAGTTAGATAATCTTTTAGATCTTTCTAACTCCATATTTGAAAGTCAAGATTGCTGGTTACATCAACCTGAGTATTCACAAACAACTACAAATGAATCAGCATTTTTATCATCTTTCAAATTCATAGATATCTAGGAATCTATTTTTATTTATTTAAAAACCTCTCTACCCCTGGGGGAGAAAAAGATACTAGACATTACTAGACTCTTTACTTTTTAGCTCCTCTAAGAAACTTTCCCCACTCTCCTCCTTCTGGAGGCTTATAATTTCACTCTTAACTGTCTTAGCGTTTATCTATATTAATATTATTACATTTTTTATGTATTTGTAATTATTTAGTTTTAATGGGCAGAGTTCTTAAAATCAGGTAATATAAAAGGTTATAAGATGCAGCAAACGCCCACCACCCTCCCAGTCCCATTCTCCAGAAACAGTTTTAACTCTTTCATCTGCTCCTTCTGGTGTTTACCACCATATTTCTAAGTCATAGGCATATACAGCTTATTTCTTGATTTCCCAACTTCCAGCATCATTTATTGACTTCCCACCATGACAGCTGAGGGTTTAGTTCTCTTAGGCCAATTAATGTACTCTGATTATATGTTTCATTTCCCCTCAATTATTTATTTTTCTTGTAATTAAAAATGACCTCAATACTTTTGTTTGTTTAATTTTTATAAATCTATCCTTAATTTTTCCCAAGTGCTTTGACACATCTGTCAAACAGCTGACAAATGAGTTTTCCCAAACTTTTAAACATACACTGGTTCTTTTTTACATGGAGCGCCTCCCTTCTGGAGCCTCCATCCTCCAGCCCCACTAGGAACTGGTAGCTCTCGGCCCCACACCTGTCCTCCTGGTGGTGTCCTTTAGCCTCTGTCTTGTGTTGAGATATCTGTTGCCAGGATCCTATGTCTTCCTCTTTTTTGTTCTTTCTGGAACTCTCATTCAGATATTGGATCTTCTGAACTGATCTTCTGTATCTGTGCTTTCCAATATGGTAGCTTCTAGCCACTCGTGGCTTTTGAGCACTTGAAGTGTGGACTGTCCGAACTGAGGTATGTCATAAGACTCAGGATGAAGAAAGATTATAAAATATTTCATTAATAATTTTATGTTGATTACATGTTGAAATGACAGTATCTTGAATATATTAGGTTAAATAGAATATATTACTAAAGTTAATTTTGGCTATTCTTTTTTGATGTGACTAGTAAAAAAAATCAAAATTAAAAATGTGGCTTATATAATATATTCCTATTGGACAGTACTGCTTAGTATGTATTATCTGCTCTGTTACATTTTCAATCTTTTTATTCGGTCTATTTTCTGGGAAATGTCCTCAATTCCACCTTCTAATTCTTCTAATGAATTTTTTATTCCTTTTTTTTAAAAAAAATTATATATTCATGAGAGAGAGAGAGACGCAGATGCAGGATCCCCGCAGAGCAGGGAGCCCGGTGCAGGACTCAATCCCAGGACCCTGGGATCACGACCCAAGCCAAAGGCAGATGCTCAACCGACTGAGCCACCCAGGCATCCCTGAATTTTTTATTTCAACTGTCATTTTTTAAATTTCCAAAAACATTTTGTTGACCTTTTAGTCTTTCTTTTATGAAGCATATTTCATTTGTTTTGTGAATGCACTAGTTTCTCATCTCTGATTTTGTAATTCTGGCTCTCTTGCCATTTTATTCTGCTGTCTTCACTGTTCCATTTTCCTACAAGCTTTTTCATTCTCTTTGGTCTCCATTCATATTCAAGAGGTACCAAGAAAGCTGACTAGACATACTGTGTGCGTTGGCTTGTTGGCTTGTGGTCTTTACTGTGGATTGATGACGGGAAAGCCAATCTTTCTTTGAGAGACACCCCACACCACCCCCACCACCAAGTGTTACTTTGTGGAGGCTTTTCCTCTGGTACATTTTTATTTCTCCAGAGAAGAATCTTCCAGTCTGCTGTCTTGATAAGGAGTTGGGGGAAGGAAGAGAGATATTGGAAGCTAAGCGTTCACTTCTCAGTTAATTCCACTATTTTCAGTGCCTATTCATCCCTGGCCTCTTGGATAGGTTTCCAAATCCAGATCTTCTCAGGTTCAATATCTCTAGAGAATAAACCTTCTGTTACTTAAGAAAG